GCGCGGGGCCGTGGGGCGGGGTCAGGTGCTCGTGGCTGCCTTTCTCACGCCCGCGCGGCCGGCTGCCTCTCCGTCCCGCCTCTGCCTCGGCGAGCGTCTGCCCACGCCGTCTGCCCGGTCCGTCAGGGCGTGCTCTTGCTGTGGAGCGTGACGGCTCTCTGCATCTCAGACGTGTGCCCTTACATGCGTGGCTGCGTGTCCTCGTCAGGCAGGCGGCTGGCGGGTGCCTCTTTGCGTCCTTGGCCCCTCTCTGTGGCGTCTCTCACCGGCGAACGTTTGTGCTCCGAGGCCCAGCTGGCCGGCCTTTCAATGGCCCGCGCTTCGCGTTTCAGGACGTGCCTCCGATGCTCCGAGGGGCTGGGTGTCCCTGTGCCGCCGGTCGGTCCCCTGGCCCCTGTCCGGGGCCCGGTTCTGCTCCGGGCTTGCCTGCCAGGGATCCCCCCACCTCGGTCTGGTGACTGGTCCTTAGGGAGCGTCGCAGGCCACGTGCCTTCTAACCGTTCTTTTTCAACATCGTTTCTTACTTTGTTTTCATTCACTTCAGAGAGACAAGGGAGAGGAGGAGAGAGACAGACACGCCCATGATGAGAGAGAACCATGGATCGGCTGCCTCCTGCACAACCCCCACTGGGGATCGAACCTGAAACCCGGGCAGGTGCCCTGGCCGTGGATCGCGCCCTGACCTCCTCGTTCCTGGTCGGAGCCCGGCCGGTGGGCTCACCGTTGTTCTGTCTCCTGTGGCCTCTGTGCCTTCCCAGGTGCACGGTCGAGGACCCTGGTGACAGGGCCCGGAAACCCTGTTGGGATTTTGGCTGGCGTTCCGTTGGAACGTGTAGGAGTCCGTGAGGGGCGAGCAGACAGCTTAACGACACGGGACCTTCCAGCCTGTGAACCCAGAACATCTCTCCGTCTCACGGAGTCTGATCTCTGTCGTGAACGGAAGAAAACACGTGTTGTTTTCAAGTTGTAGTCCCTTACGTATATCGTTAACTCACACCTGTTTTGTGTTTAGAGATTTCAGTTGCAGTTTGCATTCAGCGTTATTTTGTGCTTGTCTCAGCGCAGTGGTTAGAGAGTCACATACTTCACGGAGTGTCCCCCGACCACTCCCAGCGCCCCCTGGCCCACACGCTGTGAGACAATGCTATTGGCTTCTTCCCTACGCTGTGCTCTGTCTCTTTTATCCTAAGTGGTACTTCTTTAAAAAAAATTTTTTTTTAAATATATCTTTATTGATTTCAGAGAGGAAGGAAGAGGGGAAGAGAGATAGAAACGTCCATGATGAGAGAGAATCATTGATTGGCCGCCTCCTGCATGTCCCCCAATGGGGATCGAGCCCACAGCCCGGGCACCTGCAGTTGGCCAGAATCCAACGTGGGACCCCTCGGTCTGCAGGCTGATGCTCTATCCACTGGGCCACACCAGACAGGGCATAAGTGGTACTTCTTGAAAAATACCCATTTTTATTGATTTCAGAGAGGAAGGAAGAGGGGGAGAGAGAAGCATCCATGATGAGAGAGAATCATGGATCAGTTGCATCCCCCACTGGGGATGGAGCCCACCACCCTGGCAGGTGCCCTGGGCTGGAATCAAACCTGGGACCCTTTGGTCTGCAGGGGACGCTCTATCCACTGAGCCACACCAGTCCGCTGAGTGGCACTTTTAGAAAGACGAAGTCTCTCCTTTTCAGAGCAGTTTCCGGTCTGCACGAAAATGGGGTGTAAGGTACAGGGAGGTTCCCATCACCACCCCCCCCTCCCCCGGCCTCCGCTCAGCGACGTACGTTCTGCATTGATGAGGCACAGCTTCACGTCTCTGTGAACTGAAGTCGAGGTTCCCGCGGGGGCTCAGTCCTGCTGTATGCCTGTGGTTTTTTTAAATTTAAATTTAAATTTTTATTGATTTTTTACAGAGAGGAGGGGAGAGGGATAGAGAGCTAGAAACATCAATGATCAGCTGCTTCCTGCATGCCCCCCACTGGGGATGTGCCGCAACCAAGGTGCATGTCCCTCACCGGAATCGAACCTGGGACCTTTCAGTCTGTAGGTTGACACTCGTCCACCGAGCCACACCGGCCAGGTTGCCTGTGGGTTTTGACAGTTCACCGAGTCTCGGGGGACCGTCCACAGAGTCAGGGCTGCCAGGCCGGCTCCCGAGGCCCCTGGCACCGTCCGCTCCCCTCTTCTCTTCCCGAACCCCTGGCAGCAACTGGTCTTTAATCCTCACCCGAGGACACGTGTCCTACTGATGCTCAGGAAAAGGGAGAGAGAGAAACATCGATGAGAGAGAGAGATTTTGATCGCTTGCCGCCTCTACGCCCCCTGATGTGATCGAACCCACAGCCGAGGTGTGTGCCTGAACGGACCTGGCGCTGGGGGGCCACGTCCCCATGGGGGCCGCCTGCTGGGTGTCTGTCCCCTGGGTGCTGGGACATGGTGCTGCCCTACTGTGCGCTGCTGCTCCTCCCGCCCCGACACCCACTCTGCAGGCCCAGGCCCCACGCTGCTCCGCTGCTCTCCGGGCACCTCCCAGGCCTCTGCTGGGAGCGACGCACCAGCACCGACGGCCGGAAACTCCCAACAGGACCGTCCCCTCCTCCCGGCTCTGCCTCCAGGATGGTTTACCGGGGTGGGGGGAGGCGCGGCCCAGCGGGCAGGCCCCTCCTCCAGGTCAGGAGTGGGTGGGGAGGGGAGGGGAGGGCGCCTCCCGCCAGTGTTCCCTTCCTGGCTGCGAGTCGGGGCCCCTCGGGCAGGAAGAGCCAGGTCAGCAGGAGACAGGACCGTCACTGAGGTCCGGGCAGAGCTGGCTGGACACCGGCAGGGCCAGTCCCTGGGCCGTGTGCCCGGTCCGGAGGCCGATGCCGGCTCGGAGCTTTCCGGAAGCTCGCTCCCACCCCGCTGTTGGGAAGGCCCCCCGGCCATCTGGCCCGGACAGCTCACCGGTGGGCTCGGAGACAGGAAGGGGCCCGAGAACCGGCTTTCCTGGAACCCGGGGTCCGGGAGGCGACGCCCCCACAAACAGTGCCACCGCCCCCCGCCTCACGCCGGCCACCTGTGTCCGCCTGACCCGCCCGCGGGCACACAGCACCATGGTGCCAGGATGGCGGGCTTCTGGGGCTGCGGGAAGGTCTGGGTCTGCAGCCGGACCCGAACCTCCCGTCCCACCCCCACCCCCGTCTGAGGGCCCCCGCGCTTCCGGGCGGCCCCCTGCCAGCTCCACGCCGCCCACAAGCCGCCTCCTGGGTTTCGCCAGCTGCTGGCAGGCCGCTTCCTGTGGTCACAGCGACTTCAGCCACGACCCTCCCGGGGCCTGTCCGTCCCTCTGACCCTCCCGGGGCCTGTCTGTCCCGATGACCCTCCCAGGGCCTGTCCGTCCCGATGACCCTCCCGGGGGCTGTCCGTCCCGATGACCCTCCAGGGCCTGTCCGTCCCGATGACCCTCCCGGGGCCTGTCCGTCCCGCTGACCCTCCAGGGGCCTGTCCGTCCCTCTGACCCTCCCGGGGCCTGTCCGTCCCGCTGACCCTCCCGGGGGCTGTCCGTCCCGATGACCCTCCAGGGGCTGTCCGTCCCGATGACCCTCCCGGGGCCTGTCCGTCCCGATGACCCTCCCGGGCCTGTCCGTCCCTCTGACCCTCCCAGGGCCTGTCCGTCCCGATGACCCTCCCGGGGCCTGTCCGTCCTGACGGCCCCACGGTGGGCACCCTGGTGGGCTGGCGTGAGGCTGAGGCTGGGTCGGGGCCCTCTCGCAATGGTGTCTCCCTGCCCGTGGCCTGGGATGCCAGCTCGCTCTGACACCGGCGGCTGAGGGTGTCTGTGGTTGGGACGTTTCTATGCTGCGGGAACACGGCTCAGCCCTCTGCCTCGGTTCCGTCTTCTCTCCTTCCTCTGTCCATGCACCCATTCATTCCGGCGTCACTGGTTCCCCCAGCGCCTGTAGCTCCCCGTGTGTGTGCCCGTGCGTGTGTGTGTGTGTGCGCGTGGGGGGTCCACGGCGTGCTGAGAGCTCCCACAGGAAGGCACGGCATGCTCTGTGGGTGGTGGGAAGGGCGAGCTGGGAGGTGACATGGAAACGGGCCTGGAAGCGTGTATAGGAGTTCGCCAGGGACGGCCTGGGGGGGCAGGGAGGAGGACGCCCGGTCTCCCCACTCCACTGGCTCCTGCGAGCGGACGGCTGGTGACGTGCCCCAGCCCCCCCCCCCCTGTGCCCCCTCCCCCTCCCCGTGCCCCCTCCCCCTCCCCGTGCCCCTCCCTCTCCTGTGCCCCCAGCGCCGTGGCTCTGAGCGGACGGCTGGTGACGTGGCCCCGGCCCCCCCCCGTGCCCCTCCCCTCCCCGTGCCCCCTCCCTCTCCCCCTCCCCGTGCCCCCTCCCCGGCCCCCCCCCGTGTCCCCCTCCCTCTCCCCGGCCCCCTCCCTCTCCCCGTGTCCCCTCCCTCTCCCCGTGTCCCCTCCCTCCCCCCGTGCCCCCCTCCCCCTCCCCGTGCCCCCTCCCTCCCCCCCGTGCCCCCCTCCCTCCCCCCGTGCCCCCCTCCCCCTCCCCGTGCCCCCTCCCCCTCCCCGTGTCCCCCTCCCTCCCCCCGTGCCCCTCCCCTCCCCGTGCCCCCTCCCCTCCCCGTGCCCCCTCCCCCTCCCCGTGTCCCCTCCCCCTCCCCCGTGTCCCCCTCCCTCCCCCCTGCCCCTCCCCCTCCCGTGTCCCCTCCCCCTCCCCGGCCCCCTCCCCCTCCCCGTGCCCCCTCCCTCCCCCCGTGTCCCCCTCCCTCTCCCCGTGCCCCCTCCCCCTCCCCGTGCCCCCTCCCCCTCCCCGTGCCCCCTCCCCCTCCCCGTGCCCCCTCCCCCTCCCCGTGTCCCCCTCCCTCCCCCGTGCCCCCTCCCCCTCCCCGTGTCCCCCTCCCCCTCCCCGTGCCCCCTCCCCCTCCCCGTGCCCCCTCCCCCTCCCCGTGTCCCCAGCGCCGTGGCTCTGAGCGGACGGCTGGTGACGTGGCCCCCACCCCCCGGCCCCGCAGGAGGAGAACAGACAGGTTCTGGCTCAGAAGTCGTTGGCCCAGGCGGACGCGCAGGATGAGGAGGCCTCGCCGACGCTGCCGAACCCGGCGGGGAATGCCCGCTGCCGGCGCGGGGGCGTGAGCGCCGAGGTGTACACGGAGGAGGACGCCGCGTCCTACGTGCGGAAGGTGGGTGCGGCCCTTCCCGCCGTGTCTGCGCCCCGGACGCGCCAGCCCCTGAGCCGCGCTGGCCTGGGCTCTCTTTTATTTTTTTTTTATTTTAAAAGAGAGAGATAGAGAGCTAGAAACGTCCATGAGAGAGAACATCGACCAGCTGCCTCCCTCACATCCCCCTGGGGATGTGCCCGCAACCAACGTACATGCCCCTGACTGGGATCGAACCCGGGACCTTTCAGTCCGCAGACCGACGCTCTACCACTGAGCCAAACCGGTTTCGGCCCTGGGCTCCCTCTTAAACTGGTTGACTTGAGAGGGAGCGGTACCGATTGCTGTGTGCTGTCCCTGCGCACTGTGGGTGCTGCGTGTGTCCCGACCGCGTGAGCCCACTGCCTGCTGTGTCCGTGGACACGCTCGCCCCCGAGTGACCAGCCAGGGCTCCGTCCTCCCTGCACGGCCCTCGCCCCGCCCCCGCCCCGCCCCTCCCCTCCCCTCCCCTCCCCTCGCCCCTCCCCCTCGCCCCTCCCCTCGCCCCTCCCTCCTCCCCTCGCCTTCCCCCTACCCCTCCCCCTCCCCCCCTCGCCCCTCGCCTCGCCCTCGCCCCTCGCCCCTCCCCCCTCGCCCCTCCCCCCTCGCCCCTCGCCCCTCCCCCTCGCCCCTCGCCCCTCGCCCCCCGCCCCTCGCCCCTCCCCCCTCCCCCTCCCCCTTGCCCCACCCCTCGCCCCTCGCCCTCGCCCCTCCCCCCTCGCCCCGCCCCTCGCCCCTCGCCCTCCCCCTCGCCTCGCCCCTCCCCCTCGCCCCGCCCCCTCGCCCCGCCCCCTCGCCCCCCGCCCCCCTCGCCTCGCCCCTCCCCCTCGCCTCGCCCCGCCCCCGCCCCCCTCGCCCCGCCCCTCCCCCCTCGCCCCTCGCCCTTCCCCCCTCGCCCCTCCCCCTCCCCTCGCCCCGCCCCCCGCCCCCCTCGCTCCGCCCCTCCCCCCCTCGCCCCTCGCCCCTCCCCTCACCCCGCCCCCGCCCCCGCCCCGCCCCTCCCCCTCGCCCCTCCCCCGCCCCGCCCTCCCCCCGCCCCCGCCCTCCCCCTCGCCCCTCCCCCCGCCCCCTCCCCCGCCCCCGCCCTCGCCCCTCCCCCCTCGCCCCTCGCCCCTCCCCCCGCCCCTCGCCCCTCCCCCCCCGCCCCTCGCCCCTCCCCCCCGCCCCCCCCCCCTCGCCCCCCGCCCCCGCCCCCCGCCCCCGCCCAGGCCTGAGCTTTCCTGGTGAGAGCAGGGGAACCAGTGACACGTGCTTATCGTCTGCAGGCCGCTCACTTCTGGGGGCCCCTCCCTAAACCCCGGCACCTCCTCAGGACCCCAGGAGGACCTGCCAGCCCGCCTCCGGCCGGCAAGGTCACCGGAGCAAGGAGGGCGCAGTCCAGGGGGCCGAGGGCCGTGCGCGCTTCTGGCATCTTCTAGGGGGCTCCTGGCCTCCGGGGCCCGTCCCCCGAGACCCAGACGCCGCTGAAGCCACCTCGGGCCCCGATTTCTCTTCTTCCTTTTTTATTTCTCATATTTTATCAATTTTTTACAGAGAGGAAGGGAGAGGGAAAGTCAGAAACATCGATGAGAGAGAAACGTGGATCAGCTGCCTCCTGCACACCCTCCACTGGGGATGTGCCGGCAACCACGGTCCATGCCCTTGACTGGAATCGAACCCGGGACCCTTCAGTCCGCAGGCTGACGCTCTATCCACTGAGCCAAACTGGTTTCGGCCTTTTTTTTCTTAAATTAAAAGCACGTGGTACACCTGACATGGCTGGCACCCGGGTGCCGAGGCCGGGTGACGGGAGCCGTGCCCGTGTCCCGGTCGGCAGGGCCAGGTGCCCAGGCCTGACCGCCCCTCCCCGCAGGTCATCCCCAAGGACTACAAGACGATGACGGCGCTGGCCAAGGCCATCTCCAGGAACGTGCTGTTCGCCCACCTGGACGACAACGAGAGGAGGTATGGATGGGGCGCCGGGCACACCGACAGGCGGGGCCGCGTCCAGCACAGGCAGCCTCCTGTCGCTGGGTCGGCACCTGAGGCCCCCACGGCCGCCCCCGGGGCCGGCCACCTCCCCGGGGCCTCAGGGCAGCTTGTTCAGCGCCTCCGTGTGCTGTGCTGCTCTGCCGGAGCTCGCTGCGCGCGGGCCTGGGCTGGAGGCCCCCGAGCCCCGGGGGACAGTCACATGGTTCAGGAGAGCCTGGGGTCCCCTCCCCAGCACGGAGGACGGTGTGGGTGCGGGGCGGACCCGGCTCAGGCCGGCCCTGAGTGCAGGCACAGGGGTGGGGGCCTCGGAGGGGGCAGAGCAGCCGTGGACTCAGCAGGGCCCCCCCCCCCAGCCTGGTGTCCGCCGGACTGACTCTGGGCTTCTGCCTCCGGAGGGGGTGGGGGCGGGGCAGCACCTGTCTGTGCTCGGCCCCGAGCGGTGTTCGCTGGGGTTCGCGGCCGCTGTGTCCTCGCTCCCCAGGCGACTAAGCGCCTGTGTCGACCTGAATGTCCACGTCTCTAAGTCGCCGTGTCTGTGTGGGTGTGGAGTGGGGGCTGCGTTCCCGGCCGGGGTGAGGGGCCGGCAGACACGCCCACCCTCAGACCGAACACCTGCTCCAGCGGCCAGGCCGGCCCGCATCCTCCCTCCCCCCAGAGCCGGCTGCAGCCGCCCCCGCCGCCCCCCCCGCCCCCGCCCCCCCCCCCCCCCCCCAGGCAGCTGTGCTTCAGGCAAACGCCTCTGCCCTCCGGCCCCCAGCCCTGGCACCGGCTGGTCAGTGAGCGTGTAGTTCAGGGCCAGCCTGGCCGCGCCTCTGGGCATCCAGGCTGCGGGTGTCCAGGAAGCCTGTGCTGGGGCCCTGGGCCGGGGCCCCGTTTCCAGGTCCTCAGGCTTCTGAGGGGAGCGCCAGGCGGACGGAGCGGAGCAGGCAGCTAGGTGAGCCTTCTGCTCGCTCTCCGGCGGGGCTGGAGCGGTGGCCCAGCGCGGAGGCCTCCGGGGAGGCCTGGCTCAGCGGGGACGCCGGGCAGTCACTCTCAGGTCAGTGGCCAAACAGCCCAGGGGCGGCCGGGCGCTCGGGACCGGAGGCGTGTGGAGAGTCCAGCGGCCCGAGGGCGCGCCAGGCCTGGAGGAGGGAGACGGGAGCCTTCTGGCTGCCAGCCGGGCCCTGGAGACAGAGCAGCTGCCCCGAGCGCTGAGAAGGGACAACTGGAGGCTCTGAGGGGCTGGGTGGTCCCGGCAGAGCCCTGTGCGCCGGGCCCTCTGCTGGGCCCCGGTCCCGGGCCGCCAGGGGGCGGGCGGGCGGGCGGGGGGCACCCACTGGCAGCGGCTCCGTCTCTGCCCGCCGATGGAAACAGGCCCCTGGCCGAGCTGGGGGGGCAGGGGCACAGCTGTCTCCCGTTATCTGTCTTCCTCCATCGCTCGTCCTCCAGCTGTTTTCCCACAGACTGGCCCTGGGCCCAGGTGATGGGGAGAACAGCCACCGCCCTGTTCACAGGCCGGCCAGCCGAGGGGAGGGCCGCCTCTGTGTGTTCCCCGTGCTCCCGCTCTGCACCCCCTCCCCCCTCCCCCTCCCCCCTCCCCCCTCTGCCCCCAGATCACAGGCCGGCCAGGCTGAGGGGAGGGCCGCCTCTGTCTGCTCCCCGTGCTCCCGCTCTGCACCCCCCCTCCTCCCCTTCCTTCCCCCCTCCCCCCTCTGCCCCCAGATCACAGGCCGGCCAGCCGAGGGGAGGGCCGCCTCTGTGTGCTCCCCGTGCTCCCGCTCTGCACCCCCCCTCCTCCCCTTCCTCCCCCCCTCCCCCCCTCTGCCCCCAGATCACAGGCCGGCCAGCCGAGGGGAGGGCCGCCTCTGTCTGCTCCCCGTGCTCCCGCTCTGCACCCCCTCCCCCCCCCCCCCCTCCCCCCCTCCCCCCCCGCCCCCAGATCACAGGCCGCCCAGCCGAGGGCCGTCTGCTCCCCGTGCTCCTGCTCCCCCCCCCTTCCCTTCAGGCCTCGGAAGACAAACGGGCCGCATCCGAAGAGACACCTAATGGCTTGAACACGCGAAGAATTTGATTTTCCTTTGGCCAGAGCCGAACCCCCTCGGCAGAGGCTGCCAGGCTAGCAGACCGGGGCCACGTGAGCCCAGTGGGTCTGGACGCCGTGTTCCCGTGAGCTTGGATCCGGGCCCCGTGGCCACGTCACATGCTGTGTCCGGGCCCGTCCCGGCCAGAGTGGGGCAGCTCGCGATGTCCATGGGGATCGGCCGTGAGGAGCCGAGGTTGGGCTCCCCACCCCCCACGACGATGCCTGTCCGGCTCCTCATTGTGCCAGGGAAAGGCCACGCTTTTACTTTTTAAGATATTTTTATTGATCTCAGAGAGAGAGACAGTGATGAGAGAGAGAGAGTGAGAAAAACATCAGCGATGAGGAATCACGGATCGGCTGCCTCCTGGATCCGCCGGGCGTTTATTTTGGTGTGAGGATGGGTAAACCGGCTTCCCTCTCTCCTGAACAGCGAGTCCCACCAACGCGCCTCCCCAAACGGGCGGATCTCTTCGCCTGCTGATCGAACAGCATCCCTTAAAAACCAAGTTCCCATCCTCGCCGGTGTGGCTCAGTGGATAGAGCCTTGGCCTGTGGACTGGAGTCCCGGGTTCGATTCTCGGCAAGGGCACATGCCCAGGTTGTGGGCTCGATCCCCAGTAGGGGGCGTGCAGGAGGCAGCCGATCCATGATGCCCTCTCATCACTGATGCTTCTATCTCTGTCTCCCTCTCCCTTCCTCTCTGAAATCAACAAAGACGTATTTTAAAATGAATAAGTAAAAATGACCCGGTTCTGTCTGCCTGGGTCAGCCTGCTCCAGGGCCTGTGCTGTGCGTGTGTGTGGCCGGCAGGGTGGCCAGCAGGGCTGTGTGCTCGGAAGGAGGACGAGCTGAGACCGGTGAGGGGTGATGGCCCTTCTCGGGGGCTGGGGCTGCATTTCTGAGGAGGTGGGCCAGGACTCAGCAGGTGCTGGGTGGAGGTGGGCCAGGACTCAGCAGGTGCTGGGTGGAGGTGGGCCAGGACTCAGCAGGTGCTGCGTGGAGGTGGGCCAGGACTCAGCAGGTGCTGGGTGGAAGTGGGCCAGGACAAGGGGGTGCAGGAAGGCACCTCAGGTTTCTGTCGTGGGTGCCATGGGACAGGGAAGGGGAAGGTGGGGGGGGAGTCCAGGTTGGACTTGCTGAGGTGGGGGACGCCCCAGGGGTGTGTATGTGTGTGTGAGTGTGTGCATGTGCATGTATGTGTGAATATGCATCTGTGAGTGTGTGTGCATGTGTGTGTGTGCACGTGTGTGAGTGTGTGCAGGTGCGTATATGTGTGAATATGCATGTGTGTGCACATGTGTGAGTGTGTGTGCATGTGTGTATGTGTGAATATGCATGTGTGTGGGTGTGTGCAGGTGTGTGTGCATGTGTATGTGTGTGAGTGTGCATATGTGTGTGTGAGTGTGTGTGTGTGTGTGTGTGAGGGTGTGTGCGCATGTGCGTGTGGGTGTGCATGTGTGCAAGTGTGTGTGAGTGTGATTGTGTATGTGTGAGTGTGTGTGTGCATGTGTGAGTATGCATGTGTGTATGTGTATGTGTGTGCGAGTGTGCATGTGTGAGTATGCATGTGTGTCTGTGAGTGTGCGTGCGTGCATGTGTGAGTATGCATGTGTGTGCATGTGAGTGTATGCATGTGAGTGATTGTGCATGTGTGTGATTGTGCATGTGTGTGTGAGTGTGTGTATGTGTGTGTGAGTGTGCATGTGTGCAAGTGTGTGAGAGTGATTGTGTGTGTGTGTATGTGTGAGTGTGTGCGTGTGTGTGAGTGTGTGTATGTGTGTGAGTGTGCGCGCGCGTGTGAACGTGTGTGAGTGTGAGTGTGTGTGTGAGTGTGCGTGTGTGTGTGTGAACGTGAGTGCGTGTGAGTGTGTGTGTGTGTGTGAGTGTGTGTGAGTGTGTGTGTGTGTATGTGAGTGTGTGAGAGTGTGTGAGTGTGTGTGTGTGAGTGTGCGTGTGTGTGTGTGTGAACGTGTGTGAGTGCGTGTGAGTGTGTGTGTGTGTGAGTGTGTGAGTGTGTGTGAGTGTGCGTGTGTGAACGTGTGTGAGTGTGTGTGAGTGTGCGTGTGTGTGTGAACGTGTGTGAGTGCGTGTGAGTGTGTGTGTGTGTGTGTGTGAGTGTGTGTGAGTGTGTGTGTGTGTGTGTGTGTATGAGTGTGTGTAAGAGAGAGTGTGTGTTATCACCAGAAAACTTTATGTCCGCTCGGTGTTAAGAAAAGCACTCCAGTGATGAGGTAAAAATGACTGCAAAGGCTATTTTGTTTGATCACTTTTTAAAACGTTTTTATGGATGTAAGAGAGGAAGGGAGAGGGAGAAACGTCAGTGATAAGAGAGCTTCACTGATCAGCTGCCTCCTGCCTCCTCACACTGGGGACGGGGCCTGCGCCCCGACCGGGACCCAGCGGGGACCTCCGGTTCTGGGTCCACACTCACCCTGCGCCGGCCGCCGGGCGCCGGGCGCCGGGGCCGTGACGCGTCTCCCACGGGGAATTCCGGGCGCTCACACAGGAGGCCGCGTCGGCGAGCCGTGTCTGTGCAGTGCCCCCGGCCCCCCCGGACAGGGGGGAACCCAGAGGCAGGTCCCACGTGTGCCCCGGCAGCCGCCCACGTGGGGGGGGGGCGTTCAGGGGCCGGGCTGCTCCTGGATGGGGTCCTGCCCGGCGGTGCAGGGCTGGGGGGTGGGCAGAGCAGCTTTGTTCGGCGGGGGCGCCCCGCGGCCTCCAGCCTCGGCCGTCCTGGCCTGGGCCTCCCCTCGGAGGGACAGACAGCCGGCCCGGCTCCCCCTTCAGGGGAAGCAGCAGGTGCCGGGAGTCGGGAGTCGGAACAAAGATGGGCTTTGACCGGGAACAGCTGGGGGCCGGGGGGGGGGGTGCACCTCCTCCTGCAGCTGCCGGCCTGTGTTTGCCGCCTTCA